AGTTGCGAGGCTAGGTTGCAGGGGAAGGTGGAAACTGACCGTGGCTCTCACAAGAGAATGTGAGAGAGCCTCATTCATTGTGCAGAGTGCTGGTGTTGTACAGCAACAGACAAGATCACATCCTCAGATGATCTTTCACATAATACAGCTCCTCATCTTGAACTTCCTTTCATGTAAGTTGATACAGAAAAATTTAAAAAGCCTGTGTACTGTAGGTACGTTAGAAGGAAGCAAATTAAAAGAAGTCGAGAGCAGCCCAAAGCAGAGGAGGAGACCAGGAGTTATTTAGGGTGCCTGTCTTTGTGAATGTTCCATTATTCAGGGTGACATTAATCTTGGGGAAGGAATTTAAATAGCAGCTGAAGTAGTTCGGCATTGAGATGAATTTTTAAAATAAAGATTTATAAAAAGTTTTGCACAATCGCAAGATGACAAGTGGATGGGCCAAGATTGGCGCATTGAGGACAGTAAGCAGACACCTCATAAAAGAATTTATGGCGCAGGTTGGAAAAGGCATGCTTGTCTATTTTACCACATTTATTCACTTTTTCACATGATATTTGGGATTCTGCAGAAGTTTTCGTTTTTGACTATAAAGGAGTGCTATAAATGACTTTGGCAAATTCATGAATTCTAAGGAGGGAAAGGGTAAGAAGAAAAAAAATAGGAGATTCTGTTTCTTTTATTTAGCATCTTGACTCAGAAAAAGACACTCTATATGTGTATGATTTAAGAAGAGTTTTCCACTATAAATCTGTCCTTATCCTATCTAACACAGCCTCATGGAAAAGCACATTGCTTTTATTTGAATAGCACTAAGGGATGTTGGAATTATTACACAGCTCAAAATCCTATTTATTCTCTCGGTGCCCCATATCCTCTCTACTCCACCCACCACCCTTGTGTACTGGAGGTTGGAATGACTTCTGGCAAGAAATTCCCCATTAGATGTGACTTTCATATCTTCTTGCCTTTTAAGCAGGAAGCTGACAGGGAGAGTTTGGAAACTGTCAGGACAGAAAATTCTTACTTTTGGAGTTCCTCGTTTTTCCCCTTAGGATTTCCAAAGAGAGCATTCCACGGCTTGTTTGACCCTCATATCCATGCCTTGTTTGACTATCATATGGACCATAGATCTGACAGTAGATCAGAATCAATTACCCAAAATGCATTACTCAAACTGTCTTCCTTGCCAAGCTTTACAATGAGGTGGACTTTGTGTGGCCAAGGAAAGGGTGGTATAGAAACTTTTCCCCATGTGGTAAAGCAGAGCGAGCACTCAGGATGCTTGCTCTTCAAAAGTGTATGAGCAGAGCAGTGAATGGGGTAAGGAGCAAGGGAGCCAGAATCCTCCATTCAGTCAGTCAACAAATGTTTATTGAGCACCTACTACAGGCCAAACACTTTTTTTTAGCTGTTGAAGAGCAGTAGGAACTCCAATAATCAACAAATTCTTGTGTTATGGCGCTTGTTTGCTACTGGGGGAGATAGATGAGAAATATAATAGATATATACATTAGGTAGCTTGTTATATAATGATGAATGCTGAGGAGGAAAACGAAGCAGGGAAGGGGCGGGATTACAAGTATGTAAGCATGAGAATCCATGTGTTTGTGAATGGTTGCACACAATAGATAGGGTGGCCCTTACTAAGAAGACGATTCTTTGAGTAAGAATCTGAAGGAAATGAGGAAAGGAGCCATTGGATTTCTGAGACTCAAGGATTCTAAGTAGAAGAAATAGCAAGTGCAAAGACCCTGGAGCAGGACTGTGGCTGGCCAGTCCGAGGACCAGTGATGAGGCCAGTGTGCATAGATAAAAGTAAGCCAGGGGCAAATACTAAGAGATGAAGCAAATGCAAAGGGAGGGGTCGTACCATGGGTCAAGTCATTTATGGTATTGATGAGGGCTTTGGTTTTTACCATGAGAGAGATTAGTTTTTTACCGCAAGGGAAATGGAGCTATAAAAGGTTTTAAATGGAGGAGGGGACCTACTTACCATTTTCAGTGACTATGTTGAGAATAGACTGAAGGGGTAAAAGGGCAGAAGCAGAGAAATAAGTTAGGAGACAAGTGCAGTAACATAGCCGAATTTGTCAGGGAAATGAGTAGCAGTTTATAGGCTGTTTAAGGTCTGTAACATACCCTTTCCAAACTGAGTTTCAACTACCAGGGCCAAAAATTGCCTAAGCACCTCTTTGTTTATCCAGAATCAGGCTGGCGCAGAAAAGCAGGTGGAAAACCGTTCCAAGTACAAGCGCATAAAACAGCACGTTACCCTGCTTCTTGGCACAGGCCTCCCATAAAGAATTCTTATGTTTACTTTGCTGGACATTTGTGGTTCCTTCCTATAACTGCTTTAAAAAAACCCACACAGTCTGCATTTCCCTTTTTACTTTCTTACTAAAACAGCAATTGACATTTATTTAGGAGCTTTGCCCATTCTAACAATTAAAGTTTATAGGAAATTAAACAGCCCTCTCATATACTAGATTGGAACCTGGAACAGAAAAACAGGCATTCGTTAAAAAACTGGTGAAATCTGAATAAAGTCTGTAGTTTAAGTAATAGTATTTTACCAATGTTAATTACTTAGTTCAAATAGACTATGATTAATGTGGCAAATATACGATGTTAACATTAGAAGTGAAGGGTATAAGCGAACTTTCTGCCTATCTTTGCAACTTTTCTCTGAATTAAAATTATTCCAAAATAAAATATTTATTTTCTACAAAGCCCTCTGAAAGGGAAAAGAAATCACAAGAGTGAAAATTTTGAAAGAAAGTTTTTTGAGATAAAATAGTCAGCAGGCATATTCTGCACATTTGGTAACTATTGTCCACTATTAAGAAGTAGGTGTTATTGCCCACTAAATAGTTAGAAAATAGTCTTTCTTTTTCATCATTTCATTTAGATTAGGCCACATTTGAAACACTTCACTTGTCTCTCGATTTAAATGTATATGCATTACATTCATTCTCAGGGATCTATTTTGCTTAGAAAATAGTTTTCAAAACGAGTTACCAGGTCAAACCCTTGCCGTGTGCTGATTTCCTTTCTCTTTGCCTTCCTTCAGTCTCGGTCTCCATTCGTCCTCTGCAGCACACCTTCGCTAAGAAATGGGACTGAACGCAGCTGGCCCTTGGCCTAGCTCCCCGTTTTCTGAAGCACCCGAGAAGGAAATTTGCCATCATGTTAAAAAAAAACCTGATCTTCTCAATGTCTAATTGCTTAGATCAGGAATGATGAATGCAAATGTCCCTATGGGCCAGGCAAGCCACAGAGAAGGTAGGAAGGTAATTGATATAGCACTCTGGCAGAGACTGCGTTGCCTTAAAATGGCTCTTATTTTGATTATCCCTGGGAAGTTGTGTCTTTTCTAGAACCTCAGTGGAAGCTCAAGTCTGTTTCCAAGCAAGGTGGTTTAGAAATACAGGCTATAGTTTAGTCAGGTAATGTGGGAAAATGTGACCAGTTGCAGTTTAAAGTAGTAACCAGGTAGAAATAAAGATTTCTGTTTGCATATAAGGCGGAGAAAAGATGAGATAATAATCCAGCTGCAAACCACACAACAATACTGTGGGGTCTTCATGAGTATTTTTTAGTTACTAAGGCGGAACCATTTAAATGATCATAGAAAGATGACAGATGTAACTTTAACCAAAAAAGTTCTAGGAAGAAACTCACCTGCTTATCGGGTAACAAATTCCTATGTCTTGCAATTCATTAGACTAAGGAAGTTCTTTCTGGAGTGTACTTTAAATTTCCACTGTTGTAAATTAAGCCCATGATAAATAGCTGAAACTAATGCCAGCAGATTACTAATATTCCAGGGAAGTTCTAATGAAATGTTTAAGATGCAAAGGATGAGGCCAAATTACTACTGGTTGAAGCTGCGGTACCAGGACCATGCGCATGTGAAAAAGACATTAGGAGATGGAACCCTTGGGGATGGCCTGGACTCCTTCATGTCTGGGCTCTCTGACACAGATAAAGAACGACATCTTTTTGGACCCTCTCAGCAAAACAACCAGTGCACATGTAACTTGATGAACATAGTATCTCTAGGAGCCGGGAGAGTCTGCTCCAGAATGCTGCCTCAGTCCTCTGGCCCCTCTACTATGCCCTGGGGCCATCTGTATCCCTGAGCTCTGTCAAGTACAGGCATTAGCCAGACAAAGGCACAGGCGCTGCCCTACACCGAGCAAGGATGATGCTGAAAAGCGCCCTCCACGACTTGCCAACAGTCAACTCCTGGCTTCATAACCTTCTGCTGTAAGCAGATTAAGTTTTTAGGATAAATCCACCCTATCCAATTTCAGCTCTTGCTTTAGCACACTGTCTCCTAAGGGGAAAAGGTGATAGGAGGATTGAATGGAATTGAACCAGCATGACAGTCCTTTTTATGCCAAAAGAGGAGTATATAAAGCGCTCAGAGGTGGAAAGTTCAGTGCTTATTTAAGGAACTGACAGGGCTCCCGCACATGTCACTGTTCTGGGTATTCTGGAAATGCATTTCCACATGATTCTGCATAGCACACCCTCGTCAGGAAGACAGCCAAACCCCTCTGTAACCTGGTCCCTGCATATACCAGTAGCAACATACACACATGGAGGACAGTGAGGGATTTGATCACAGACCCTTGCATATGTAGTAGCATGATAGGTATTTCCAGTCTCTACAAGCTCTTATGATATTTTCAGTAATCCCAAGTAAAAATATTTTCCAGGTATATTTAAAAATCCATTTGGGGAGTCCACGGGGGCCAGAATTCTAGGTGGGGTTATCAAGGCCGGGGCCTGAATGCTCACCCCTAATCGCTCTTTGATGTAATGATTTCTAAAAAGGTTGAACATTCATTTAGCCAAGGTGATTTAAGCTAATTTGATTTGGTTGCTAGGCGCCGGAGGGGAGGGTTTCAGCAACCCTTCCCCCCTCCTGAGGCAGGTAGAGATGGTCAGAGTAAAGTAAGGGCAGGGCTCACGCAGCTGCTCCTCACCTCTCCCCAGGCAGCGGGTGGGGGCTCCACGGGAGGGTAGTACTTGGGCACATCCCAGGCCACTGCAGCCATGAACCATTTGAAGTCCTTGCACTTGAGCTGTTTGCGCAACTCCTTCTGGGCAGAGATGTCCCCGGTGGAGAGGTGCCTGTACTCTGGGCGTCGCTGGTAAATGTACTCGGCAAATTCATCCATCCAGGTCTCAGCCACCCGCTTCAGGTTCTGTGCAGCAGAAAAGAGTGTCACTTACTGGTCTGTGCCCTCAAAGGGTGATTTTAGTTGCACTAGAAATTGAAAAAAGAAAAGTAAAAGAAAGCAGACCACCTCAGGTAGCTCCAGTTGGTGGCTTATTAACAATAAGAGTTTTCATAACTGCAAGGGGTGAGATATGGTTAGCCCAAGGCTTTGCACACATTTCTGTTTCTGGCAAGGGGGTCAGTTACCAATTAGATAATTGATCAGAGCCAGTAAGTAAAAATTCAGTTTACAGTTATATCAACTTTCTCATCCCTTCTGTTATTTCATAATTATAAAAATTCTTTATTTTTCCACATAGAAATAAAGGGGTTGAAGCTGGAGATAAAGCATTTCTTCTTAGGCATCAAATTGCTTAAACCATTTCAAGGAGCGGTCACGGATCTTGCTAAGAATGAGGACAAACAAGCTGATAGTCTTTTCTCCCAATAATAGAGAGGAGCCAGCATTGCTAAATTCAATACCATGTGTTCTGATGATACTTTATATGTGTGACAGCAACACCAAGCAGAATTTAGTAATTTACTGCACAATGAAGCTGCGCAAAGGGAAGCACCACGTAGCTAGTCTTTTCTGCAGGTGTTCCCATGGAATGAAGGAAGAGGGTTGATGGAAGGAAAACAAGACCATTCCTTAAGGGCAGGAGAGTGCACAGGAAGCTCAGCCCTTCTGTCAGTTTTGAGATTGAGGCCTCAGTTTCCTCACATAAAGAAAGTCCATACAGTCACCTGTACCGACATCATAGGAGTGGTTGTAGGATTAAATAGAGCAACTTTATAAAGTGCTTACGATAGGACCTGGCACACAATAGGTACTGTAAATATTACAGCCATTGTTGTTAGAAAGTGTGCAGCACTGGAAATCAGAGAGCCTGGGTATTGAGCTTGGCTGCGGATGAGCTGCATTGTTCTGTGGTCTGTGAGAAGGGTTTTGGAGGAGATGGGATGTTCTCTGACGTTCCCTCAGCTCTATAATGCTAAGTGGTGGAGAAAGCCACCGCATTGTCTTTAAGAGATCACTTCTCATGCCCCAGCTTGCAGGCATGAGAAGTCATAGGCTGGTGTCCTATAGGCTAGTCTCCTTGTTTTCTGTTTAAATCCCTTATGTGCCCAGTTGGTGTGAATGCTGACCCCTTCCAGTTCTTCACTTGCATTACAAGAGAAAATGAGCAGAAAGACTGGGAACTTTAAGAAGATCCAAACATGTGTCTAAAGTGAACACTAGTGATATTTAGGAAGTCACTTTATCTTAAAACTTGTTGCAGAATCCTAATTAGGGCCTGGAATCATGCCCAGAGGCCTGCTGGATCGGGAGACATGGTCTCCAAATATTTTCTTTCTAATGGGATTGTACACCTCTCTTGTTCTGTCCCACCAACTCCACTGCCACTGTCCCCATGGGCCTCTTTCCCATCTGACCTCCTCACCCCCATAGATTCCTTGGTTGGTTATGGTCAATGGTGGGCACCAAGCAGGGCCCAATCAGTACAGCAAGATGCAGAAAGGAGACAATGTCGCAAAAGGTACTCTGGTTTCTTGGTTGCCTCTGCGTTTCTTTCTAAGATTCCTAGCACCAAAAGTATAAGGCTTGTTCTCTGAAGAATTCTTTGCCTAACATCCCATTGGCATTGCCTTGCTCGTAACACTTCCCACTCCTCTGACTCCAGTTTACATTGACAGGTGTTCGGAGTCAATGTTGTTTTGTAATATTCTAGCCTTTGCCACAGATTCTGAACTGCCTGGTTTGTTTAGGGAGAGAAAAGGAAACAGATGACGTTTTGAGGCTCCTGGTCAGGGATGGTACCATGTGCTACATACTTACATAATATCTAAGTGTGTGTTCTCAGTACTATCTTGCCATTCACCTTTTATTCTGACAAGTGTTCTGGGTGAAATACACTTTATTTCATTTGTCCTTAGAGAGACAATTTTTATAATTAGCAAAAAGATTCAAAGATAGAATGAAAAAATTAGTCAATAATATTAAAACTATTTATATTCAAATTAGATTTTAGGCTCTAGTTCCAACCCTTATCCTAAACTTTAATTATTATATACTGTGAAAATATTTACTTTTCACTTACTTTATTCTTCTCTGATAAACAACAATGAATAAAGTCAGGAGAATAGCAAAAAGTATAGGCAAAGAGATTGTCCAGGATTAATGAGAAAGTGACTTTCCAAAAATGATTTGTCACTAAGTGGAGACATGCCTTTCCAAAAATGATTTGTCACTAAGATCCATCTTGACTTGGATAAATAATCACTCTAATACTATAAATGCCATAAAGTTAGGAATAGATTTTTTTTTTTTAATTAAAAGGCCCAGCACCTCAAATGATTCCAAGTACAGGTGGGCATTCGTGTGGTGTGCTAATTGTTGGTTTAATAATAGATCATATTATAAAATGAATGTGAATAATTTCTTAGCATGTGCCTGTATCTATAAATAAAGGCACTGAAACAGGAATATTTTTTTAAAAGGATAGATACTTGTTCTTTTGGGTTTTAAAAATAGAAATAGAAATCATGGTGAAAACTCAAAGATGAACTGACTAGTTCAGATGCATTTACTTGAAAATGGCTTGAAGGGCCATGATAAATGTTAGCCAGAGTGACCGTCAACAACATTAGGGAAACTCTACTATAGTTGATCCGGGGCCTAGCCAGGTAGCTTTTGCATTATCTCCTTTTCAAATTGAAATACAGTTGGTTGCAAGTTAGGGTTGCTGACTTCCCAAACTCTCCAAAGAATGCAGCAGGATCATGGACATTTCCAGGGATGATGTGAAATCGTAGGTTCCTTTTTTTATAGCTTTTCAGGAGATGAGAAAAGAGAAACAGAATAATAGTTGCAAAAACTGTAATAGCTAGTTTTCTTCCAGCAATGAGTGTTATATAAACATTTAAACATAAATCCCACATCCTGACCATTCTCTGATATTCCTGATGACCCATTAGACATCCTCAATTATAGATACTCTACTCTTCTGAGTGGTATTTCCCATCAGGAGGAAATTTTCTAAAGTGTCGATTATGATAGTCAGGGAATAGTCCTCACTCCCAAACAGTCCAGGTAAATGGCCAAATAATATCTTTCTGAAGTCACTAAGGAAATAACAATACACTGTGTTAATCTGCCACTCTCATCACGAATCAGCACTTCGTTTTTGGGAAAACATTGTAACCACAGCTGAGAAGTATCACAAGTGGTTGCAAGGAAATTTTCACGGGTCTTTTCTTGATTATAGAATAAATTCATCCACTCCCGGAAACAGTATGATCATATACACATTTGAGTTCACTGGGATATTTATGTAGGAATACATATACACATATTCAAATACGTGGAGGTAATAGGAGCAAAGCAATATTCCTCACATAAACATTCATAGCTGTGTAAACATTTACGGAATCATAAAACTGAGACTTCCCACTGACATCTCTTGCCAGAGATGGTAACAAAGAAAAATAAGTCAATCTGAGTTGGTCCAGGTCTCCCTGATATTGAATGGACATTGACAGAGGCACTAAGATGTCCAAAAAATAGTTATCAAGAGGAAAGAAAAGAATAAAGTATGGACACTAGAAGATGGATACATGAAATCGTTTACTTGCAAACAGAAGTTGGATCTATAAAAGTTGTCTTGTATTAGCTGGGATTCCTGTTTTTTGAGATTTAAATAAAATTGCTTCAACCCCAAGTCACACATCCTTGTCTTCCTCGAGATACGTATGGATTCCCAGCGGGGTCTGTTCACGCAGTCATCCTTCACTTCTATCTCCTATTCCTGGAGCCTCCCTCCCTCCTGGCACCTTGCCCTGGGCTTGCTGGCTACTTGGCCATGAAGAGCTGAGTGGGTGACAGTGCTTTCCCATGCCTCTCAAACATGTCTCAGGTAGATCAGCGAGGCACAGGGTCTGCCTGAAGATTTTAAGGCGGTGGGAGAGACACGGATGGCAACAGCACAGCCAATGATGTAAGAGGGGTATTTGACTTCTTTCCTATTCTTTCGCTGCTATAAAGAATTTTGCAGAAGGGACCAAAATTCTGCCACCCCAAAGGTGCTCTTTGGGATGTTGATTTTAAGTGCATGTATTTAACTTTGATTTTTCTCCTGTTAATCTGTCTCTGTTAATTTGATTACTTAGCCCAGCCAGAAAAACTTAGAAGGTAAAGGAGCACTCCCAACCATGTACTGATTGATGCTGCCCAACTTGAATTGAGTTTTGCTTAAATAAACTCTTAAAATTTTTAATATGCCTCAGTTGATCTCTTAACGTTTAGAACACACTTACACTAAAAATATTGTTTATCCAAAATTCAGATTTATCTGAGCACCCTATATTTTTGTTTGCTAAATCCAGCAACCCTAATTCCAATGTACACAATACAATATTGTGCTCCATGAGTGTTTTTGAATCCACCACCTAACTGTATATGCAGAAGCTGGCACATCTTGATGTTGTTGCCAATACCTAGTGAATGTTTTGCTTCCGTGGAAATTATTCCGAGGAAGTTTCAAGTGCTCTGCAGAGAAGTCTGCCATAACACACCGTTGATCTCAATATGCTGCCCATAACCCCACTGCTTTTCCATTTCTCCCAGGTGGGATCCTGCTGGCCCCCTATCAGTGAAGCAAGCAGGGAAGCAGCCATATCGCTTAAGATAACAGCTGTGCTAATTGGTAGCTAGAGGCAAGGGCTCAGCATAGCTAGAAGGGACAATTTAGGGCTTACTGTTAAAGTCAGTCTGAAAATAAGTAGGTGAAGGCTTCCTCTCTCTGCACATCAGGGCTGTGTCTCACTCAGGCTCCAAGTGTAGTGTGGACAAAGGAAACTGGGGGAGAGGACACAGTCCCATTCGAGGTGGACCCAGGAAGTTTTTACCTGCTGGGTGTTATTCCCAGCATGGAAGTTTAAGAAAGATAGTCACTGGAGCTGAGGAATACTGTTTTTTGTTTTTTG